TGACACAGAATTGGGGGAAAAAAAGAGAAAGGGAGGGGGGACTGACTCAGCCGTGCTCAGAAGGTGGCGACCGGCGCAGACAGAGAAGCTGCATGAAATACAAAAGGAGGAGAGCTTTGTGATCCCGGTGCCAGAGCAGCGTTGTGTTTCCTCACACTGTATGCTCTCTGCGTTTGCTGTCTCTCTCTCTCTCTTCCACTGTACCAGCGGGGGAGGGTACATCGGCCGTCCCAGGCCTAGTTACATGTCCCAGCATCCCACAAGAGCTCTAACAAGGCCACTGCGACCATAACGAAGACTGAGTGCAGGACAACACAGGCAGATAAAGGTACTGTAGCATACAGTCATCTGTCATAAACAGTACCTTCAAATTAAGAGCCTGTTGTTTTGGATTTGATGTTAGCTGGAGTTTCAGCAGTCTGGTGTGAGACATGTTTACTTATCACTTTAAAAATACTGCAAAAGCGAGCTTATGGTGACAGATGAGAAAGAGTTGCAGTTGCTGGAATAAGCTGAAAACAAAAGGAAAACTATAGAGCTAAAGCTGTATAAGGACAAAGAAAATAGATCATTGTTGGATTATTATATTTCTGAAAATAGTTGTTTGCTTCAGTGTTACAGCCGTATACACCATTATCTTAAATGACACTAAGTGAACCTGTAAGACGTGTTCTTTAAAATAATGCATCAAACCAGAAGTGCCGGCTGCCGCTGTGTGTTCACTGCTTCAGCTGCAAATGAAACGTGCATCTTCATTAGCACTGTGCCCCTCAGCCAGCCTGTAGGAAGCACTGTGTGCTGCTGAGCTCTCACTTTCAGTCCACCTGAAAATGCTGACTTTTCCCAGCCTTCTACTAATGGTGCTGTGTTAATGAGCTGCTGTCGGTCTCCTTGGTTTAATCAAAGCCAGGCCCAAGTGAACAATGCACCTATTATCTTTTCTTTCTGTTTATTCTTCTTCAATAGGCAGACTTTAATGGATTTGTTATATGTAAAGTGATAAAATGATGCTCTAGCAAGGAAGAAAATCTCATCATTCTGGTCGTCTATGTTTATCTTAATGATGAAAACTGATGCTGTGGATGCAAAGTAGAGGTTTATTCTTAGCAGTGGTTGCTAAGGAACACCTGAAGCATCTGTCCTCATCCTGCCTCTCAGGGACTAAAGTCTGTAAAGAAAAAAAGAAAACTTTTGCTAGTTCCTTCTTTTACCTCCACCTGGCAGCAAAGGAGAAACAAATTGGTTTGGCCTCAGTGCAAAGAATGCAGTTTTTCTGCTTTTCGCCGTTTCTCAATACGCTCTTTTTGTATCTCAATCATAAGTCCCAGATATGTAAACAGTCTTCATTTACTTATCTTAGTGATTATTCTCACTAGTTTATACATAGTTGTATTAAATATCTTAAGTTTGCATGTCTTAACAATACCTGTAATTATTTATAATGACTTAATATATACTATTTGTTGCTTCATATTGTTTTAAAAGAAAATATCTTGTTTGCTATTTGTCATGTTTAATCTTTATGTTTTGGCTAGCATTTTTAATTCTTCATGATGAGCAAGCTAAAAACAAGTAGCATTGGCATGGCATGTCAACACTCATATCAGGCTCAACTAATCAGTTCAAAAAAATTGTGTTGGCATTGTCACAGTCCAACCCTTCATATGATTTATATACTTCAAACCAACATTTGATTATGTATATTGTCAATATGATATATATTGTTTATATTTTACAAGAATAATTGGTCTGATAACAAATGCTTTAAGTATGATTGATTATTTAATGGATTTATGTCAGCTGTTTTGGAACAGTCAATTATTCGCACATTTCTTAAGGTATCGACCATGCATTGTAGTAAAATGAAAATGGTAAAATGTTGGTATTTCCATTCTAATCTAGTTTATTGCTTATCTATGCTAATGTCTGTTAGGTGAATAATTAAATGACATTTATATTTGTGTAATTTTTTAAAGTGATCCTAAAGCAATCATATTAGTTGTGATTACCGGTAATTGATTATTGAAATGATTGTTGACTGATTTAATAATTGTAACAACAGTGCAAAGCTTGTAAAACATACCATCTGCTGAAAGAACAGATTCATAATTTTACCTTTTTATTGACACATAAATAAAGCCCTAGCAAATCTGTCAGTTTAAGATGGACAAGTTCAAAATTTAGGAAAATGTGCCAAAAACCTTATCAAATTATTAGTAATCTCCTTGAACACTTTAGGAAATGAATTGTAACATTTCCCTTTATAACCTATTTTTGAATATGACATTGATTCCAATGTTAATATGGTAGGGAAATTGTAATATTCACTCAAAAATCACTTTTAGTGATTAAAGTTTAGATTTGGAGGCTTCTGATTATACAACATTTTCGACACTGCATGTTTTAAGGTTATATAATGGACTGGTCCTTGTAGAGACAAACCAGCTCCGCTGAAACTAAATGAGTGTGGGGGTGTGTGTGAAAGGTCTCAGGAATGTGACACAAGGATGCACAGCTTTCTCAGTGCTACCTGCACGTATTAGAGATGAGCTCATGGCTTTGTCACAATGATGAATGGCTGTGGCATTTTCTTCTAAAATGGGCAGACACACTCACAAGGTAAACATCAAGCAAAACAAGTCAAACTTCGGGGTATTAAAACTGCAAATAGAAGCTGCAAGTCATCATTTGTTTCAGCAAATATCTTAGTTTTTTATTATGTGCAAACATTTAATTCCAGACTCTCTCTAATTATGTTATTTTCCTCTCAATTTTTGTTGCATATTATGAACAGAAATTATGCAAATATTTATTAAAATCTTTAAAAAAAATAGGATTAAATACATTTGTACTACATTTTAAATACAGTCCTGAAATCAATAGTTGTTTAATGCTACATATTATGAGTATGAAATATATATATTGGGTTTAATTAATTAGTAATGTTATCTTTAAAGTTTTGGCCATTTTTTTTCTACTTATAATGTATGTATCTAAAAGATTCCCAAAACTGTTATGTTTAGTGGAATCCAAAAAATCTGAAAAGAGTTTGTCTACAGTGTTATTACATTTTAAAACTGAATATAATAATAATAATAATAATAATAATAATAATAATAATATGATATTCAGCCAATAATAACATAATTTTATTTCATTCAATCCTATGCAGCAACTCTGTCTGCCCTGATGAAGATTTATTGCCCATGGCATGTAGAGCTCTTAAAGTCAGCAGGTCACCCTGACCTTACAATAAAGACACCTCAGAGCCTGAGGAGATAATGTTAATAAAGTAATTAAGAAAAATAAATAAGTAGGGTGATACCAAATTAGCACACCACCTTGTCTCTGTTGAACATAGTTATGTTTTCACCCTTCATCCCAATACATGTTTGGTACAAAGGGGGGGCTTAATATCATTTATTCAATAAAACTGCTTCAGTTATTCAGGTTAAGACCAACAGAGCATTTTTTTTACACCAACATACATGACTTAAGACAACTTGTGGAAGCAACCTCAGTTTCCTCTTCAAAGCAATGTGTTAGCTCTCAAACTCTTCTGCGTGCTGTATTTAAATGCTGCAGAATATTAATATACTAAGGATAATGAAGAGATGATGGAGATACTTACTGTACTTTTATCTCCACCACTTTATAGGCAGACAGCAGATGGCAGAAAGTAATTGCTGCTGCCCAGACGCAGCACTAATAATGGCTCTAGTTATAGAGAAGCAAGGGTACACCAACAAACACAGAGAGTTGATTGGATTACCATGTTTGCCTATTTAACTGTGGTGCTCCTGTTATAGAAAAATCTACACACTTAACAGAAAATGCCAACACATTACCCTCCTTTATATTTAGGTGTGAGAATACGTTCAGATGGAAATGTTTCTCCTTTCTCCCACTCAGCCATGTTTACCCATGTGTCAGGTATGGGTACATGTTGGTAAATGTCATAAAGTTTGAACCAATCATAGCTGGGAGAGATTTCTTTTTGCAGGACTTTTTGTAGTTGTCTATTTTATAATCATGTTGACTGTTTCAGATTTGCAGCCACTTAAACTAAAACTTTTGTTTCATTAACTCCCTCTATTTGCATCTGTTTTCCTTCCAGCTGGATGTTTAGTTCATCTCAGTTTCTCGTCTAACTCTTTACTCATAAAATTGGCTAATAGGTTGGTCAAAGGGACTTTTTAACCCAAAAATTGTGTAACACTGAGAGTGCTATGTTAGCAATTCTGTTTCCATTTTCACATTTCATTAACCATGGTCAAATGGGACAAACATGAAGCCTCTGAGCCAAACGCCACTCTGCTAAAATAGCTTTTCTGCACTTAGAACTCACCACACTGTAATCTTCGGTTAAAGTAAACCCAAATTTCTATCTTTTTATACCTCTAAGCTGCATGCCTTTCCTTCAGCAGACTAAATACCTGTGAGCTGTTGTGCCACTGTAAACTATAGTGGAAATGTATGAGAAATAGTGAGGCTGCATTTTGCAAACTTAGAGTATTTCTAAATAAAAAAAAAAAATCTTATATCGGATTCCTCTCAGTTTACTTGTCATGTTTTCATCAATTTAATCTATTTAAGAAAACTACATTTAAAACAAGAGTATACTCCTCTTTTAAATTTAATTTTCCGAAATTGTTGTATTTATACTTTAGATATAATCTATACAACAATTTGTTTAAATCTCCATTAATTACCATTAGAACAACAAAAGTGGTCTATTTCAAGTGCATTTTTAAAATCCTAGATTCTCTGAAAACAAGTCAAATATATCATCTTCAGCAAGTCACAATAAGAATATGTCAAAACAAAGCAGCATGTGTTAAAACTCTTAAGTTGTTGAATAGTGACACTTTGTTAGGTTATCATTTCAGATGATTATCTGTCTTTCTGGTGCCTGCTTCCACAATCATCCAAAAGAGATGTAGACGAAGTCCAATCAGTCATTTTTTTCTGTAGCTGTTTTTTTCCTGTGTATTTTCTAGACATCTGTGGCGTTTCTGGACCCAAGACCCTCAAGCCCCAGAGATCCCTCCCAGGAACACCAGTTTCTCTTTCGCAGCTCCCAGTCGATTTGCGGGCATCAATGGAGGAGAAGTACAAGGAGCTTGCTGAGGTAAGAACTAAATTAAACCTAGATATGATAAGATTGTAAATGTACAGTGCAGGTTTAGTTCAATTAAAACTCTATTTTTATGCTTAAACTCCTTTTATGCTAAAACACCTCCTTTCAAAATGATTATTTATTTTCTATTGCTGTCTGTGGGTGAAGGGCAGGGTACACCCTGGACACGTAGACAGTCCATCACAGGGTGACATAAACACACAACCATGCACACACAGCACCACACTTGAAGGTAATTTAGAGACATGAATTTGCATCAGAGTTGTTGTGTTTGAACAGTGGTAGGAAGCCAAAAGACCTGGATAGAACCCACATATGCCCAAGCAGAGCATGCAGATTCCATGCAGAAAGAATCTAGGCCAGGGATTGAACCCAGAACCTTCTCATTGCAAGGCAACAGTGCTACAAAAAATGCCACTGTTCAGACCCCTTTAAAAGATTTTCTCAATAAATAAAATCTATTTACTGTGCAAAGGTGACAGTCTAAGAGTACCATGCCTTTAAAAATATTGCTAATTATTGTATTTTCTTGCATTTTTTCAAGTTACAACTTAGAATATAAGTTCATTTTGTTGGCGGGTTTGCTAATAGACCAAAACAAGGAAATGGTTGTATAAACTAGAATTATTTTTTCTAGTTTTTTGTGTTGTGTCTCCACCATCTACATTCATGCAACCGTTTTGACATTTACTTAATCATATTTAGTTACTTTAACACAATAGTTTTATGTCCTATGCTTCTATCACGAAACAATTGTCTTAAAGTAACTAAAAACGCTTAAGTAAATGCCAAAAACGGTTGAATAATTTTTTTTCAGTGTATGCAACAGTGGCAATATAAAAAAGCTCTAGCTGAGTCAGATTGGATGGAAACTGTCTTTTAATTTGAAAGCAGTTTCCCATTTGGAGGCATGTAGTTTGACCATTTTAAAAGATAGTAATTGTTTGATCGAAACCATGTCAATGAATCTTTGGCTGTATGTTGAGTAAATCAACTTTTTTTGCTTTGTTTAGGGGGTTTAGTGCAAAGAAGGGTAAATCCTCTACAAATCCACCCTCAACTTTTTACATATTTTTAGTAAAGTAAGTTCAAGGCCATCTCTAAAATTTTACTTTACTAGTCTATAATAAGATAATCAGAAAATTCAGTGAAGTGATTGGCACATGATGGAAAATGAAAAAGGTTAGAGGAGAATTAGTCTGTAAATGTAGCAGACGGCACAGTGGTTGTGGAAGTTGTGCTATCTTTCAAATAACCCTGAGAACATTAATATTTACACGGTCTCCTGTTTATGACGCCATAAATGTTTTCTGTGTTTGAACCAGGAGCTGTTCACACGCAGCATGGCTGAGAGCGAGATGCGAAGTGCCCCCTATGAGTTCCCAGAGGACAGCCCCATCGAGCAGCTTGAGGAACGGCGACACCGCCTGGAGAGACAAATAAGTCAAGACATTAAGTGAGGAAATGGAAACAAACTCCGAACACAATGTCTGCTAAATAAACCGTTTATATTACGTCAGACAGTCAGACTCAGCTGCACTCTCTTCCTCGGCCTTCCTCTGACGCACAGTGTCGCTTTCACCTATGCACACATGCCAGTCAGCTTTCAATGTGCTGGGTCTATGGGCTCATTAGTCCTAGTAATCAGCTGCCTGATAGAGCCAGAATTTGACACCTGGTATATCAGCCAGTGGTGTATGTTATACTTTAAGATGGAGGTAGGTTATGTATTAGCTGCCTGGGACAATGTTAACTGCACTACTAAGCCAATCATTGGGGGACAGAGATTTATCTGACATGTCCCTGTTTACCAATCAGGGTTTACCATCACTAACTGGTGTTAAAATTCATTGTGTCATTATGAGTGTGCCTCTGTGTGACTGAGAGGGTGCCTGTGCTTTTATTCAGTGTGTCTCTCTTTGCTAAATATCTTCTCACTGCCTCTGGTGTCCATCTGCCCCTGCCTTGCCCTCACTATCCTGCGCCTCTGCATATCACCCCCAAGGCTTGAGCCAGAGATCTTACTGCGTGCCAAACAGGACTTCATGAAAATCGACAGTGCTGCAGACCTTGAGTGAGTGAGCTCTGCCTCAATATGCATGGTGTTTTTTTTTTTTCTTATTTCAGGAGATTAATTCTGTTTGCCTCACTTCATCTGCATACTAACTACTCTTATTTTTCCAAATTGTTCTCACAGAGTACTTTGCTGAATTATCTAAGTGCTTTGCTTTGGTGCAAGTTAGATTTAATAGAACCCATTGCGGTCATTGTTTGCCTGAGATGGATTATATCTTCCCCCTGCTGGTGATTTAATAGATGTACAAATCTGTACAAAAACATGCTAATTTTTAACATTGAAAGATGTGTCAAAAGGCTTAAAATAAATTAATATTTTATAGCAGTTGGATGATAATCACAAAATGTTTTTTACTCAAATTCATTTGTAACACGGAGAGTGCAATGAGGAAAAAGAAAAGGTTGGGGAGAAATGTTTTCCACCTCTTCCTCACTAAGAGCTAGAGAGGTAAGTTGAAATCTCAGTAATAAAGTGATAATATAGTATTAAGAATAAAGTCAACCTGTCAATAAAGATAAAGTAGAAAAAGGTTTTAAGAATAAAGTCAGTAATAACCTCATTGGAAATGAATAAGGATAGACATTAGCTGCTGTTTGGTGACGTTTGTAAATCTACATCCTCTAAAAGTGAGCTTTTTTTTTTTACTCGCAACATTTCAAATTTAATAACTTTGTGAGGAAGAGGTCAGAAAAATTCCTCTCCAATAGTTTTTTTTCCCTCACTGTGGCCCTAATACGAAATCATTCTTTAATATTTTTTAATGAAAGAACAATACCGTTATTAAGAAATAATTGTTTTTATTCAAACAAATAAATGGTACAGATGTGAAGGTAGATAAACAGAGTTTGTGTAGCACCACACTCATAAATGCACATTCACACACGGATGTGTGGACAGCTTGGGGATAAATGCCTTTCTCAGGGGAAAATCTATAAGAGGCTGGAAGCTTTCTGACGGCGCTTCTTCACATCACCACAGTGGCTCACATATCTTTGATCTTTCTTCTGTTAACAATTTCCTCAGATCGACGGTTCTAACCCGGTCCAGTTTTGAAAACCAAACCAAAAAAGTTTTAATCTTCTCAATTTTATCGAATAGAAAAAAGTAATATTTTAAAATTTATATGGGGAAAAGTAATACTAGCGTGCAAAAAACAAAACTGCTGGTTTGAAGAAAGCTGTCTGCCAGTCATGAGGCTAGACACCCATTAGGCCTAATTAGCTGAATTTTTAATGAGCTAAACGTCAGTTTTTTGTGTGACTGATGCAACAGTGCTTTTAAGTACAAACATTAAAGACAAAAGTAAGTTTTAAACCTAACTACATAAAGAAAAACTCTTATTTTAGTCACTCGTTTGGCTTTATCATAAAGCTGCAAGACAAAGCTTTTAACATGAAATTAAAAAAGTCTAAATATATATTTTTTTAAAAGTCCATCCATATCTCTGTATTCTTCCTTTCTCTTTGCTTTGCTTAAAAAGCGTAAGTTAAGACACAGAAAGATTTTTCATCTAAATCATATCAGTTTCAGAGGTTTTTAGGTTTTTCATGGTGATGTAACACTTTAAAACTAAGAAATGTATCTTTAAATCATCTCTATAGTAATATGTAGAAAGCTAAGTAAATAATCTTCAAATAACTCAAATTCATAGCTTTATTCTGGCTTTCATCTCATATTTTATGTGTCTTTGCTCTAATAAAAAACACAAGGTAAAAAAATATATACAAATAAGGGCTGCAACTAATTATTGTTTTGCAAATAGATTACGGTAATCTGGTTATTTTTTGATTAATAATTGGAGAGCAAAAGGTTCCTTTAAGAAGATATTTTATAGAATTAAACCAGGTGAAACTAAAACTTCCACTTTAGGAGTTCTGGATAGAGCGTATTGACAGATGTAGAAGATTTTGTATCTTAAATGTAAATAGTTTACATATTTGTTCTACAATTTTGGTATTATTACTGCTCTAATTGGGTTGCTCTGTCAGCTAAGGAAACATTTTATAATCTCTACACTCCAGTTAACAATTAATCGATTACCATATTAATTGATGATTATTTCACTAATTGATTGATCACGATTAATCTGATTGTTTTAGCCCTAATATAAATATACAGATTTACTCTAAGACACCTTTTTTTTTTTTTTTTTTTTTAAAAAGCAAAACAAAGTAATATGCTTATACTGTTAATGAAAGTTAGCCATAGACATCAAAAAGGCCCTGGACTGAATCACATCATAAATGAAGTGAATAAATGTTTTACATTTTTATTGGACACTAAGCTTTACAGAGCAGAAAAATAAATAAAAACCCACATTTTAGCTGTGCGAAGAAGAAAGGGCAACTCATGGAAGTGACAACTTCTGATGAATAACAGGGTGAGAGGCTCCCCAGACTACAGGATTTATTGCTTCTGGTATGCAGTGGTAACTGCCAAAAATTGCCCAAAGAAGGCCAGCTTGAGTGAAAGCTTTCCCAGGTTGTTCAATCCTGTGTTGCCTGGTAGCTGCATACTGGTTCCCAAGCTGGTCAGTTTTATTGTTGAAAGCATCTCGCTTTCAGAGCACTGGATCATATATCAATGTGAGGAAAAATGGGGCTTTTTATGAACAAAGTTTTATTGAATTGATTAGCTTACGAAGAAAAGGAAGCAGGATGAGATATGAGGAAAAAGGAGATAATGGGATCTATCAAGGCATTGCTGTGGGTTTAATATCTTAATTCCTGAGACTTTAAATCATCTTTCCTAACCACAGACATAATGTGGGGTCCTTTTTAGTAGGATAAAGTATCTTATAAAACTGAATAGAGTATTTAGAAATACCTAATCAATAGCAGTTCTTATAATGATTTAGCTGCTTTGGTATTCTGTAGAAAAATGACTGATAGTAGACTCCATCCATCCAGTGTCAGGAGGACTACCATCAGCTTCTGGGACCTCCCTATTATGAAAGGCTTAACGTCTGATCTGATCAGAACTGTTCTCCAGCCACAAGAAGAACCTAACACTATCAAGTAGGAGGTTAAAGTGTGGATTTCTCTAAGAGTTCAGTGGTAACAGGAGGAAATAAAAGTGCTAATAAAAATGTTACAGAAGCATAATAGTTTTACATTTCTTTCATTTTAAAATATGCACTTACAACAGATGCATGCTTTGGATCTCTGAACCCCTACAGACGAGTTTTCTTCTGGACCAAAGCTAATAAATGCATTTTTTTTTGGTTTGAAAATGTGAAATGGCTGACCTGGAAAGTTATGTCCTGTAGAGATGTTAGTTATTGGTACAGTATCACCTCAATAAATGTAAACTTTCTTCACACTTACATAACTCTGTAACTCTAGCATCCTGGACACTAAAATCAGTGACAGGTGTGAGTTTCGATGCAGTGTTATCCAATCCAACAGACTCAACATCTTATTAACAAACAGAATTCCTCTCTATGACATTTAAAATGCTTTAGAAAACAACGTTTTCATTGTGTACAAACTTGTTCAAAAGAGCTTTTATCACATTGATTATAAGTTTGTCATATATTCTCCAGTTCTGGCAAAACATTTTATAAATGTTTATATATGTATAATATATGTTTGCTGATTGGCTGATTGTTCTTAAGTTTAGCAGAAATGGGTTTTCTCAGAAATAAACTTCTCGTCTTCAACAACTAACATACACGGGACTGCTGTACCAGAATAAAAGTTTTATTACTTCTACTTCCTTAACGTCCCTTGTTTTTGTTTCTTTGTCATCATCCCCCTTTCTTTTTGATGCTAAGCTGTGGTCTTTATGTGCATGTCAGGTTGATGAAAGAGAAAAGTGTAGACACGGTTGATGTGGGCTTTAAGGAGCGGGAAATGCCGATGGAAAGAGAGTACCAGCGGGTCTCAATCTCTGGGGAAGAGAAATGTGGGGTAAGAAAGCTCAGATCTTAGGTCTTATAGTATGTTTAATACTCATGCAAAAGCTAAAAGAGGCTTTTGTCTGTTGGTTTGATGTGTTTCCAGGTGCCGTTCACTGACTTGGTAGATGCTGCCAAATGTGTGGTGAAGGCTTTATTAATCCGGGAAAAATACATCAACCGTTCCATGCAGAATTTTTGTAAGACCGCAGCTCACGCCCTGCAGGACCTTGGGACAAACTCTCTGGATCTGCGAGTTTATGATGATGTACCAGAGACCCCTGTAGATGCAGGTATGCTCATCAAGATGACAGCAAAACTTAGTAAAATTAATATAATAGTGTTAATGTTTGAGGGACTGGACTTCTCTTCTACTGGTTCCCCTGTTATCCAAAAAGTTTCATCAGTTCTGCTCATGAAGTAACACCAACTATTTATAAGCAATCATCTTTCTTGTTGAAATCATCTTCATATTGTATGGGGATGCTAGAGACTGTGTTAGGATGTCTCTACCAATACACTCAGTTTTGGAGGATTTATCAAGCTGTTGTTTTTTTGTTTTTCAAAGTACCTTTTTTAGCCAAATAACCATTCAGATCTGAAACCTTTTTTTCTCCTAGATGCCCCTTTTCACCCACCTGCTTCAGAGACACATCCATATGAAAATCAGGATCCCAAGAGTATGCCAGCAGACACAGGATACGGTTGTAAGATGGTTGATGGGGTCATACATGTCTTCAACAAGAAAACAAACATGGATAAGTAAGCATATAGTCATTTATGTCCAGAGATATTCACTGATTTGTTTTTTAATTACATAGTCATTTATGTGTTTCTTCTGATTTAGCTTTTTGATTAAACAGATTGGCAGTTAAATCATTCTTTGGTTTCTGATTTTCACAGCAAAAAATGGTTTCAAGAACTAAGATAAAAACACTAAAACTGTGAGAATTTACTCTAAATAAATAAATAAATTTTTCTATGCAGAAACTTCCTTTAACTTTACTCGCTTTCATTAATCAAGAAGATAATGTAAAGTTGTACAATTAAAATAATTTATCAACTGTTATGACAAGCTAATCTAATACTTCTTAATGTATTTTTTATCAGTAACAAATAGTTTGCATTATTAGATAATGTTGTAATCTGTTTTCAAAACCAGAATAAAGATCACACAAATCTTGCATAAGTATGCGCGATTGTGAAAGTAAAATGTGCAGTGAATCGACTAAGAGAGGGAAAATCATGAATGTTAATTAGGAGTGAATGTAATGTGAATAAATGACAAATACAACAAGTATCTTTGTTTATTTAGAAGCACAGAACTGGACTTGCCATATCCTGACCTGAAGGAGTACTTGGCAGACACAAATGTAATGATGTCCCTCATTATCAATGGTCCAGTGTAAGTTTTACTTCAATCAATCAACAGCTAGAGTTATAGTTTTTGTTTTTATTAAGTTCAAATTAAAACCCGTTTCTTCCCTGTGTTTCCAGGAAATCTTTTTGCTACCGCCGTCTACAGTACTTGAGCTCCAAATTTCAGATGCACATCCTTCTGAATGAGTTAAAGGAGCTGGCAGCTCAAAAGAGGGTCCCTCACAGAGATTTCTACAACATCCGAAAGGCAAGAGCTGCTGTTGCAAAAATAATTTCCAACTTCAGTGGTATTGTTTTTAAATGGATTTTAAAAAAAATATAAAACTGGCACCTATTTTTTATTCATTAAAGGGGTCATAGAATGATTATTTAGGGTATTTGGTGCTGGTCCTTAAGGTCTCTGAATAGGTTGTGTAACATTGGTTGGGCTGAAAATGGCATATTTGCTGTTCTATGAGCTCTAATGCAAGCCTGGTTAAAAGCCCTAGAATGAAACGACAGGTTTTCTTCCTTTTATGGAATGCTCATGAATATTTAGATGAGCTGTTAGCTAATTGGTTGGTTTACAATGAGCGAAGTTGCTGAGCAAAGATGCATCATAGCAACAAGCACTCACTCACTGAAACATCAAATTGTTGTAATGGCAGAGTGACCAGACGTCCTCCTTTTCCCGGACATGTCCTACTTTTCATAATTAAAGAAATGTCCGGGGGGAATTTCGAAATCCTGGATTTTTGTTTATATATGATTTGGATCTAGTTGTTATTCATAGTGCATTAACATATAAATATTTTGAATTTCTGCTGTGAATTGTGCGTTCTTTCTCATCTTGTCTCCAGGTGGATACTCACATACACGCATCATCCTGCATGAACCAGAAGCATCTTCTGCGATTTATCAAGAAAGCCATGAAAAAATACCCTGACGAGATAGTTCATGTAGAGCGGGGACGCGGTCAGACCCTGCGAGATGTTTTTGAGACCATGAACCTGACAGCGTACGATCTGAGTGTAGACACACTGGACATGCATGCGGTGAGTGGTCAGAGTTTTATGGAAAATAGAATAGACACAAAACTCATTCATAAAGAGGGTTCTTTTCAAACTTTCTACTTTAACAGGATCGAAACACATTTCATCGGTTTGATAAGTTCAACTCCAAATACAACCCGATTGGAGAGTCTATCCTCAGAGAGATCTTCATCAAGACAGACAACTACGTGGAAGGAAAATACTTTGCACATATAGTTAAGGTGGGAGGTAATTTAGGTGTAAGGCCTTACCACACAATTTCTGAACACAAATCTAAACCTGTTGACTTTTTTTCCCCCCAGGAGGTGATGTATGACTTGGAAGAGAGTAAATACCAGAACTCTGAGTTACGACTGTCCATCTATGGACGCTCCAGAGACGAATGGGACAGGCTGGCAGAGTGGGCTGTGAAGCATAGAGTGTACTCTGATAATGTGCGCTGGCTCATTCAGGTGCCCCGTCTGTTGTAAGTGCTTCTCCAGATTTGTTTTATTTTGAGGCGGAGATGGAAATGATTCATAAACGCGCATAAAATTCTAGAAACCAAATTTCTAAACCTTATGTGTTCTAAGTTGTGCTACGTATATCATTACTAGATTCTCACCAACTTTGAAGGACTATTTATCGCAAATGTAACTTTTTTTAGCTCGTAAAATACGTAATATATATTTCCAAAGCATACACTGTGCTATATTTTCAATCGTTGCACGCAGCTACAGCTCAAACTTTCTGGTAAATCAGCCTGTAGACCCTTGTAGCTCTTCTTATAGAGCAGGATTTGTTCGCAAGCACCTCACGACGGCCGACTGAATTTCGAACATGTTTTATTTTCTCCCGACCTCACGATTTCTGATCAGGAGGTGGTCATGAGAGGCTGATCGCCGCTCGTTACCCCCTGTTATACTACACGACGCAGGACGCAGGAGGAGGCTGAAACTCAGCCCTATTGAACCTTCCACTCTTTTGTTTTCACTAAATAACTTCAAAATTCAATAAAAACAGACAGTGGCAGACTTTTAAGAAGATGAAGCTGTAAAGCAACCGTAACAAACTGAATCAGAGGGTCCTAGATTACGTTTTTTAACCTTGAGTTCAGTTTGTTCTTACATTGGTTATACTTATTATTCTTTAAACTTTTTCTGAGTTTAAAAAATAATTTAGTTTGAGAAAACTGTAACACAGATAAAGGATATTAAAGGAGGCTGATACTGCATTTTTAACGGTAAACCTTATGCAACGTTTACACCACGCAGCAAAAAGCACCTGTTGCTTCATTTGGTTGTACTATATGCTGTATAGTTGTGCACATAAAGGTCAGGCGCACCTCAAGATGTCCTGAAGCGCATCCAGCAAAGTCTGTCCAGATGCACCTGAGGCCTCTTCTGCTCTTGTGTTCAATGGCAGTGAGCAGCGTTGCTATATTTGTTTTCGATAAGTGGGTAAAAACCCTAACCCATGATTACGATCTTGCCTTAATATATTATTTGGCTGTCGGAGCCGCTCAGACCCTCACATACTGGCAGTGCGCTATCATTGGGAATTCCCAGCAGCAGCTGGGGGTTTCCACTATTATAAGTGCTGACTGGAAGTAGATGTTAGCATTTTTTTAGGTACATGGTACAAACTGCAGGCACCAGAATAATGAAAGTGAGCATATTTTGCCGGAAGTTTTAAACATTTTAGTTAATTTAGGCGTTAACTGTTTCAGGTGAGTGATCATAGCTCTCGGCATGAACACTGCTGTGTTCGTCTTCCTGCAAGCTCCCAGATCAGCTTCTCTGATTGGTTCATGGAGCGTGTCGAGCAGCAAAAGTTAAATTTTTCCAACACCAGCATCTGCTGCTTGTGAAGTGCGTCACGCGCCTCAGAAGCTCTTGTGGCTCTGCTTCAGCTGCTCAGATAGGTGAAGATGCGCTTCTCCTGCTGCAGGACCTTTTGATGCACTTGTATGCACGTCAAGCATGTCAGCATGTTAAAGCATGCAGTGTGAACGTAGCATACTGTAACATCAAAGCAAAAATTATCATCAAATAAAAAACAAGTTAATTTTCAGCTTAATGATGAGCTCGTAATATAAAGACTTGGGTGATTACTATTCCAATAAGGGAGAGGAAGTTATTGGAGATCAGGGTCAGAGACCAAGAAAATCTTCATCCTCCCCCAGGGGGTTAAAGCACTCTGTGGGAAACCAAGACTGTTTGAAGGTCAGGGCAGTGCGGACAAAAACTGTTCTCAAAACCAGAATAGTCTCTGTTATTAAACCGTGCAGCTGTTCTGAACATCAAACCACAGCAAATAGAGACGCTAAAGATTACAGCTTTTTTATATAAGCTGTCTGTTTTATTTATTATTTAACTGCACTACAGTAACATGGCTGCCATTGAAACTCTATATTTGTTTTTGGTGTTAGTTTTCTCCCAACATTTGTTTGGTCCTAAAAGGTCCTGTCAAGCTAAAGCTGTTCCGTGACTCGGGGAAAGACGTTTACAGGAAGCTGTTACCTATTTAGTTTAATAACCACTTCCTAAGAGACCTTTTAAAAAAAATGTTTCCTTACCAGAGAAACTTCTGCTGCCTCTTTGGTCTGGCTGTTAACATACTGTTCTGGCTGATGTCACTGTGATATGAACTGTGTTTTTATCTGAGCCGTATCTCTTTAAATTAATGTCAAATTTGTTTATTGTTTTATCCTGGGTCAAACATGGTGCTCACTTTACAATTTTCTATTTTGCTACTAATTGTACCATTGGACACAGTTCTGTTAGAAAGGTCTACTTTGTCAAAAAAAAAAAAAAATTTTTTTTTTTTTTATTTCACAACATTATATAGTCATCGTACTCACAGTATTACTACCTTTGGCACAAAACGGTCCCAAAAAGCTATGATTTAGAATGACTTATCAGCTTTGAAAAATAAGGGAGAAGCTATCTGGGATTTGGTTATGCTTAATATTGCTTATTTTTGTCTCCAAAATAGTTTTTTTCTTTTAAGAACTCATCAAACACAGAATCGTAATGTGAAATTACAGTTTTGGTTAAACCTGTTTTTCAGTGACGTGTACCACACCAAGAAGCAGCTGGCTAACTTCCAGGAGATGCTGGAGAACATCTTCATGCCTCTGTTTGAAGTCACCATAGATCCTGGGAGCCACCCAGAGCTGCATCTCTTCCTGGAACACGTGAGTGTGTCCTGATAAGCTATTCTCATGGACCACACCTAAGGGCTAAGACTCAATGTTTTTGCGTGCTGATAGGTTGTGGGCTTTGACAGCGTGGACGACGAGTCTAAACCCGAACACCACATTTTTAACTTGGACAGTCCCCTCCCTGCTGACTGGACAGAGGAGGACAACCCCCCCTACTCCTACTACCTCTACTACACCTACGCCAACATGACTGTGCTGAACCACCTGCGACGGTACAAAATACGCCAGCAAACAAGATGCTTTAGTTTTATCATTCTTTTACACCTAATGATTCTCAAATCGGAGTCTTTTTTGTGTAACACAGACGACGAGGCTTTCATACCTTTGTTCTGCGACCCCACTGTGGAGAAGCAGGCCCGATCCACCACCTGGTGTCAGGCTTCATGTTGTCAGAGAACATTTCCCATGGACTGCTGCTCAGAAAGGTCAGAATGGCTCACAGCGAGCCTCAACCATTTATTTAAAGTTACCATTAAGTCTAACCTTCATTTGTGTTAGAGTGATACATGGGATATTGTAAGTAGCTACTGTAAAGATTAGGGTAATGGCAAGGAGGGCCTTCCATCCTCATCGCCATTGATAAATCAACAAACAAACAATACAGGAAACATGTAGCAGCAATCATATAAGGGGCTTTATTAACAATAAAGGTGTTCTAGTGATCATTGAGAAGGGTATAAGTTAGTTTAAACCTGCTCTTTTTAATCGCATGTGAATAAGAATTGGTTAAATTATGTCCTCGGTGCTAACTTTATTCATTTGTTAATTAATTTCTTTGCAAGCTTACTGAAAATTAAACTTAAAACTTAAAAAAATATATATATATTTTTGTGCCTAACAGGAAGGATACACTTATCATAAATGATAAAGATACCTTTTTTTTGTCTTTTTTTTATCCAAGCATCCATTTTTTTGCTTGTTCAGAGTTAAAGGAAAGGCTAATTTGTGATTTGGGGACAGATTAAAATGATTGGCTTTATATTCTGTTATAGCTGCATTGATTTTTTTTTAATGAGCTAATCATAGGTGTCACTTTAGTCTTCATAGGGGCAACAAATCTGTCTTTTTTTCAGCTGTATTGAAGGTAAAAGTTGTTTTAGCTTTACCCTCTTCGTCTCATTTCCTGCTTTAGGCTCCTGTGCTTCAGTATCTCTACTACCTGGCTCAGGTTGGCATTGCCATGTCCCCTCTGAGCAACAACAGCCTGTTCCTCAGTTACCACCGCAACCCTCTGATGGAGTATCTGTCCAGAGGCCTCATGATCTCTCTGTCTACCGATGATCCCCTTCAGTTCCACTTCACTAAGGTCTGTTTGTCCACACAAATAATCCAGTCACACAAAAGTGAGAACCTTACGAATGTCCCGATCCAACATTTATTAGAATATATCCTGCACTTAAAGGCTCAAATATAAGCAGGCTGATAAAAAACACTCTGCTTCCATGTGCTTCTGATTAAAGTTTATGTAAGCCTTGGTTAATAATAAATGGGTCAGTTGTTCTAATATTTATTGTTGCTGACTCTAATATTACCTGAGCAAGTCTTGCAAAATTTTAAACTAAAAAATAAGTAATAAAAGTATGTTTGATTCGTCCTTCTATCATATCAGTCAATACTCAAAGCTGCAATGTTAATATCGATATTCCAAATGAAAAAGTTAATTTGAGATGTCCATAATGACATATCTTGTTTCCCTTTCAGGTTATTGGATGTGAAATAGACAATAATATGGATTTTAATATTTTCCCTCTAGGAGCCACTGATGGAAGAATACAGCATCGCAGCTCAAGTGTGGAAACTGAGCTCCTGTGACATGTGTGAGCTGGCAAGAAATAGTGTCCTGATGAGTGGATTTTCCCACAGAGTGAGTTGGTTTATTTTCACCAATACTTGTGATAAAGGAGGCAATAAAAAGCATATTTGGAAATATCTCTGTATGTGTAGTATAGCTTTTAAAAATTGTTTTGAATTGGAAAGGTGGTTTATTTTGTTAATATAGTTTGATTTTAAAATGCGATTAATTGCAATTAATTAATTACAGACCCTGTGTTTAACTTGATTAGGCATTCTAATAGTGCCCCACCACTAGGATATAGTATAGCTTTTTTCCTTTAATGTTAGCAATGATTAATGAATTTACAATCTTTAAGGGTGTTTGGAGGAGTTGCAGCTGCAGTAAAGAAAATAATCCATGTATGGAAGACCCAATATGATATAATTAAAACAAATACAGGACTAAATAGATTGGCATACAGTCATATGCACAATAAGTAGAGCTAATAAATAAATGCAAGCAGTAGCTGAATTATACAATGAGACATAAGAATACATACCTTCTTTATTTAGCTTCCCTATTTGTTCACTTTTGTAACAAGCTTATTTTTTTCTGCCAGAAATGTAAAAAAATGACAGGCAGGAATCAATAGCAGCATTGAAAAAGTAACTTTTTACCGTAAACTATTGAGTCAGGGGGGCTGAATACACATTTCAGTTTCTTATTTATAAAAACAAAGTCTTGTGTTGTTTTCTTTCTACTAAATTTCATAAAAAATATGTTTTTGTTTGTGATTGTTATCTGGGAAAATGTGGAATAATTCAAGGGGTATGAACTCTTTTGAAAGCGACTGTATGGGAAAGAAAGCTTGCTTTCCTGTCCTGTGTAGATCATTTTTAGACCGCACATTCACATCAGGACTTTATTATTATGAAAAAAATCATTCAGAAAAACATAAGCCACTTTTGATACAAAAAGGGGAGCTAAGTTTGGTCTCTTTCTGCTCATATCTGTCGAGAGAATGAATTGGTTCAAACCATGTGTTAGATCCACAAAGGCATGAAATCTGTAGTGTAACTTTCATTCTTGGATAAAACAAAATATTTTATACTTATGTTTGTTTTTGCATCCCAAACTGAACGGTGCTCATTGTCGTAGTGTAGGGGAGGATATCAGCTGTGATATCTTGTTTACTCGTTTACGACGAGGTAGGAAAGATAGGAACTGTTAAAAGTGTGTTTGAAAATGTCCAACAGCTTCCCATCCCTCTTGATTTAACCAGCAGAAACACATCTGCATGACTGTAGACAAGAAATTCTGGTCGTGGGAATGTTTACCTTTTGGGTATGGGAACTAAAGTAAATGAGTCTGATCAATACACAGCTGCAGCCAGTGTTTCTGTGTATCCTGTTTCTGTAGGTTTTCGCTTTCCTATTTGTATTTTTTTTTATCAATAAGTGTGGTTTTTTTTTTGGATTTGGGAAGTATAAATTTTATTCATCTAAGTGTAGCCATCCCATAGGGCCTTTATTGGTGTTTCTATAATGCAGCATTCAATATTCTGTCCTTTCCTCTCTAAACTATCAATTGAAGCCTCCAAATATTCCCTATACAAAAAGAGACAGACATTGTCAGATTAAAATAGGTGCAACATTTTAATTTTTCCATATATGAAATATAAATATTCTTGATAAAAGACTACTTTTTTGTGTTATTTAGCCCATTCCTGTAGACTCCAGAGAGAATAGCTGTACATCTGAGGCCCCAATGCTTTAGCAGTTCCATGAATAGTAAATCTAAATATGGCAAAGACTGGAAACTGTCCTTTATGAAGAGCCCAAAGTTAATGTAGGGCTCCAACACAGCATAGATTTTAATCGGCAAGTTCCAATAAATAGGGCACCGATACTATTTTGAGAGCCAAAAGTCAATTTAACTATTGTCACCCCTGGATGCACTTCATATTAGCCTTTTTCCTGCTTCACAAAGGTAGGCAGCAGCTTGACAAAGCCGTGATGGCAATTATTTTACATCCAAGTAGTATGCAGTTCTTCATATATACACACACATCAATTCAAACAGATGGTATCGGTGTGGTATCGGTATCTGCAGATACTGAACAGCCAGGTATCGGGTATCTGTATCGGGGCCAAAAAATGACATTGGCGAAACACTACTGTTTAAGTCCACCTCAGCTGCTGCATTGAGACCTAGAAGGTTTGTTACGGAATATTAGTAGGCAAGCAGCATCATGGAGGCAAGGTAGACAGGGTTAGAAAGAAACTACCGGAAAAAAGAATAGTCCAAACTTTGAGTGTCTCGAGAGGTAGAGCGTTCTGTCTGCAGTTTGCAATAAGCAATGCCAGCGACACAGCAAATTAGGAAGGTCATGTGGGCAGATGAGCCAAAAACGGTCCTGTTACTAATCCGGCTACTCTCCAAACATTTCCAATCGTTGTTTCTTTCATCTACAGATTAAGAGCTACTGGCTTGGCCCCAGTTACTATAAAGAAGGTCCTGAGAGCAACGACATCCGCCGCACCAACGTTCCCGATATCCGCGTAGCCTATCGCTTCGAGACCCTCACCGAGGAGCTTCACCTGATCACCCATGCCGTGCGGACCGATGAGCTGGACGCCATCGACGAGGAGGACACGCTGACCATGGGCCCCGTCTCAGGAGGGCGCTAAAATCCCCACCTCCCCTCCACTCTGCAGCCCACTCAGCATGCCACTGATAAGATGATGCGAGAGAAAAATCTGCTGGCCTTTACACACCACTGTAGAAGTCTGCTGCGCTGCTGTAGCTGTGCAGCAAATAAAAAGCCAAGGTTTCAGAGCTGCCAACATTTTTATTCTATCAATCCTTAATCATGTTTGGGTTCAAAACAGTCCAATTACTTTAAATTTCCCATTTTCAGAACTTTAAGCTTCTTCTCTCTTACTCTCTCACACATGTTGATTTTTTTTTTTTTTTTTTAAGAAGAATAACTTTATCTAAAGTTATAGATTTTACTTGTGTGCAACATTTTCTGTAGTTTAAGAGCTATAATTTACTAAATTGCATTTTTATAGTGAATCTCCTTGGATTCAGAAACATTCCTTAAAGCAAACGTAAATATTCCCAGGAATTCATTTATTTGTTGTTATAGTTTTGATGTAGCAGAGATAATAAAGAGCACAAACAAATGTGGATGAACGCTCACTGCAGGCATTGTTGGGGCTGGATCACATCAGTTTAGTTCTTTGCATGCACTAAACTCTTCATAAGCACGAAAACAAAGCCTTCCCTGTGCCTTTCCGTCGTTACTTAGAAGCAGTGCATGTCTTTTTCTTTTTCCTTTCCATCCTCTGTGGGAATCTCCACACCAGGCTTGCTGATGGAGCAGAAACCAGCCTGCAGAGTCACAGCGTGAAGAAGCTTTATATCTCGGTCTCGAGTTCTCTCCTGCATGCTGGCATGACTGACGTATGCAAGGACAGAAAAAACCCTGTTTACATCCAGCCCTGAGTCAAACTCTGCATGGTTGAATTGAGCAACTGGTGCAGGGATATAAGGAAGACTGTTGCACGTTTCCGTAGTGGGGGTTTTCTAACCCCATGAAACCAGGAATGGTTGCATTTTTTTACAGCACACCTTCCTTTTGTCACTCCACATTATCCTGCCTCTCATCAGACTTTGGGGGTTCAGGTTTAACCAGCAGAGGAATCGGTCAGAACACATTTGTAGAGTATGCAGATGTTTATGTGTTTGTTTTGTACGAATCCAACCGTTGAAGGATGCGCTGAAGCTGTCTACCGAACTCAGAGGACTTTGTGGTTGTTAAGAGTTTATGTTTTTTTATAGCTGAAATAGAAGTATGACCATTTTGTAATACTCTTGATGTGAAGGAGAACTTAAGATTTTTCGTTATTTTTTATTTTGTCTTTAATATTAAGTAATGAAACAGTATTTTAGCTCTGCCTGTTAAGTACTGTCAGCAAATGATACCCCATTATACATTTTGTGTTTCAATGACTTACTGTTTCTGTGCAAATACGTGACGTCTCCTCTTTCTTTTAAAGTAGCAAGATAGACACCAAAGCACACCTTTAAGTATGCATACCGTTAGCCAGGGAGTTTTTCCCCAGATATTATCTGATGCAGATATTTGTTAGCCTCTTGATTTTTTTTTTTTTTAGCAGTTTGTTCTTTGATCTTTCGAGAATCAGCTCACAAATGGTTTCCAATTTTAGAAATACTACTAATGCCATTGATTTGCTTCACCCATACAATATCCAAACCTTTACAATTAATTAGTAAATTAATTGTAAATAGTTTCCTCAATATTTGAAGAATTGATAGTGATATATATTAAGTAATTTATTTATAGTAATATAATTTCCCCAGTAAATAGTAAGAAAAGCAATGTCATTCTATATTGTCTCAGAGAAACCATACAGTTAATATTCTTATTCAACTCTTTATGATTTACTGTTTACTTTTACAATTTAACATAGTTTGATTCCGTTCTGCTTGCTTTTTTTGAAATGATCTTTTATTTTATCTAAATTGTGTTTTGCTTACATGTCATCGTTTTGTAAGTTGTTAAACAGTTTGGTTCATGTTCTGCTCAATCTGACTCCTGTTGATTCGTAGCCTCATCATTGCTTGAGCATCTGAGACTGATGAAGCTCATCTGTCAGAAACTGAATAATAACAATAAAGCATGTTGAAGCAATACTTGTGCCAGAATTTCACTTTAATTTATAGTTAACATATATTAGTAATTTATTTATAGTAATATATTTGCCCCAGTAAATATCACAAACAAAACAAGGTAGACTTTAGAAATCATTTTGCAGCAGATGGTTTGCTTCCTATCAGCTTATTGTTAAGATTCATAACTTCATACACATAACAGAGATTACATTGTGACTTAAAATAGTGACATATATATGTGACATTTTTAACATAAAGTATATGATAAATTACTGTTTTCAGAAAGTGCAGTGTGTTCACATGTGAACGAAAGCTTCTTTATTCTAGCCAGTTGCTTCTTATTTGCTTTCAGTATCTAGAATGTTTTCCTCTTCTTCACCAGCTGGGTGGATTCTTTAACTTGCGTCACTGGTGATAAAAAAGAGAGGTGGTTATTGTTGGTGATAAAGAAGATGACGGGCAAAATCTAAAGTTAGCATGTCTAAAACTTACTGCCAGGGTGGATCTGACTGCCTGTAATTGGAAGAAGACTCGCCCTCCTTCCTCTGGACACACAGTCTTCAGCTCCTCTCTGCTCATCCCCAGCAGCATGGAGCCACTCAGGACGCCCAGGCAGCGCACAGTGCTACCATAAAAGCAACCTTCAAGTTAGTTAATGTGTAACAGAACCAAAGCATAACCTTGATGAGGAGCTGGTTTATTACTGCAGAAACTTTACTTGGCTTGTATGACTCCCAGAGCTCTTTAAAGGTGTAGTGGAGCATTTTCTTTTTCTGTGTTGATCATCTAAACAAGTGGTCCTCCTAATTGTGAATCACTCTAGTGATATGTTTACGTATTGCCATCCTACGTGCTCATTCCTAGTTAGCTATGTTTTTCTGCATATGCGGACTTTCAGGCATACGTATATCTGTGGTGAGCTACGGTTTCAGACAGTCATAGAAGCTCACCTTTTTCAACATGGTTCTTTGAAAATTGCAGATGTTCGTGAGAGATAAAGTGTCTATGAAGTATATGAGAAGAAAAGAAAGGCCTCAAAAGGAATGCCGAAATGCTTTGCATGTACAGCTCTCCTCGCAAAGCATTATGGTATTTGCTGTCACCATAGGCTGCCGCTACCTGACAGAGACAACTAATAACAAAGATGCTGCAGGCACCGCAGAGTGGAGGAGTAACGTGGCCCAAAGGGATTAAAGAGCAGTGATCATCTGTCCGAACGGTCAGTTAAATGAGTTCACTATAAAGTCCACTATATAGACCCCGCTCTATAGGGATGCAAATCTAAAACCGGTTCCATGTGTTGTAATTCCATAGCACGGTTGGGCAGCTCGCTTAATGGTTCTCTTAACGTTTCCAGGCAGCACCAGAGCCTAGCACTTACGTCACGATTTTTAAGCAAGTTACGAACACGGCATTCAGTACGCAAGTACGACGTGACCAGGTGTAGGTCTAGAAAAGTAAAATAAAAAAATGGTGTCCCATCGGGTAAAACAATCGAAAGTTTGTATGTAAAGTGGCAATTACATCCATGGGAGGAAATACATCCAACACTCAGAAACACCTGCGCACACAACATGGCATACATATTAACGAATGCCGTGTTTTTGATGCTTCCGGACTGAAGCTAAAGTTACGACCTGCATGAAAGTCAAATCTTTTTGTAAGTAGCTAGTTTTATATCACTGGCTGTGCTTAATGTGGTTCCTAGTAAATCATATGCCATTTCTGGAAATAAACCAATTTCCTACCTCTCTTTGGGGTTATTAAATATACTACAAAGTTGCAGTTTAGGGAGCGAGAGAAAGGTGACGCTCGTTTTTTTAAATCAGGGGGAGAAGACTTTATTTCCCCAAATTGTACAGTAATGCTTTTTCATTAAACGAATGCCTTCTCCATTAGATTTAGATGACTGAAGCCTGGCTGGATCAGAGGCCGGCAGCTCCCGTTCACTGCCTTCTGTTTTCGCCGAGGCAGGCAGAAATAGAATGTCCCAGGCCAAGGTAGACGAATGTCAACGTGCACTTACCAAGTTCATTGTTTCATAGAATCGAAAAGAGAATCGATAAGGAATCAAATCGTTTCACAGAATCGATGAGGGAATCTGAATCGTGAAAATCGTATCAATTCCCGACCCTACCGCTCCATATAGTGATTGAGGGATTTAGTGGTTAGGACGGACGTTTGGACACAGAACAGCAACTTTTAAACAGAGCGTCCACCAGCAGAAATGGGCTTGTTCATGCTCTCGCATGTGTTTAATAGGCGTTCCCTCTCGGGAGCGGTTACAGGGTTGTCCATGTGCATTTTTGTAGAGTTTGCAAAAATCCTCTACTATACCTTTAAGTAGAGCAAATAAAATGTTCCTTGCTAAGCGCTCAATCACTCTCCAGCCATTTTTTTTCTTCCTATTTTGTCATGTTTCCACCACCAACTGGGCTGAAAAGGCTAAGAGCTGCATCTAAAGTCGCTTTTGGAGTTTGCCATTTTTGGGCTCAGCAACGTTTAGAGGAGGGTGCTCTGGCCATACGAGGCAAAAATCTGACAACAGATATAAAAATGCATCTAACCAAACTATCTGCACCATAAATTACTGAGGTGGGAATACCCTGCCATTGGCTTCTTGTTTTTAAACTGGAGCCAGTAACTTGTTAAAGAAAAGAGATATTCATCGTCATGTGTCAGGAGGCTAAAAGACCAGACATAAGAGAGTTTAAATAAGAGAAGCTGGTAGAGACAGGCCAAGAGCTGCAGCTGTAACTGCATCTACAGATGATTTATTTAAGGATCTGAATTAAAATACACAACACATGAACTTTAAATGTTGAAATATATTTACTACCACATAAAATGTCAAGCTGTTTATAATTGCAAGGACCCCAAACCAATTTCACATTTTGCTTTTTTGAGTTATTACTCAAATTTCCAGTTAAAGTTGTAGGATAGAAGATGAATAAATATTGTATTTGTTAAACTCCTAAAAGAAGCTCCACTTGTTGGGTATCTAAAACTACAGCTGCTGTTTGGAGTTCTAGAAAAAACAGCATGCAGAGCAAAGATTGGATTTCAATAAATCTGTTGCACGTTTAGTTTTGGACTCTGTAGGAAACCCTATATGTCATTAACCTTCTTCATATGTTAGCTGAGATATTTCACTATTATATATGGTGATAAACTAATTTGAAAAATATTTAAAACAAAAGCTTAGTTTAATATTTAAAAAAATCCACCAATGACCCCTGCTTTGTATTATAAGGGCCATAAATAGCTTCTCTACTGATAGGAAAACATGTCAATTAATGACAACTTCTACTCAGGCCTAGATCATCATTACTGTACCTATAGTTACTAGAATTAACTGTCACTTACATTTTGTTAAATTCCATGTGTTCAAGCCAGGCTTTCACCTCTGCTGGATTAGATCTCCTCGTCAGGACAGGAGATGCTGGAAAGTCCTAAATGAAAATACAAAAATAACATGTCCTGATTTGTTTTCTTTGTGAGCGGTTCGTTTCTTTTACCATCATTTCATGGTTTCTGAGCGTTGACTACCTCATATGACGGACTGTCAACATCTTCCAGGACGTTGTTTGGTACGTAACCTTCCTCCCCTCTGTTGTTCCTCACTTTCCACCACTGCTTTGACTTGTCCAGGAGCTGCAGATGCAGAGAGCCAAATGGGACAATCGAGGATTATTTGTTCTCTTTATGAAATTTTTTTATTTTTTTTTTTTAGAGTAATAGAAATAGAAAAATTCACCTCAACTATTTCTCCTTTAGTGATGGTGAGCTCTCTGTGGTTTCTCGACGTGAAGTCATACTTAACTCGCATTTCATTTTTTTTTGCATGGACAGGCCTGAAAGACACAGAAAGAAGGAAACCGCTTAGAACTGTGAGATTTAAAGCTTTGTACCATCTAATCTATGCACTTACTGTGATTTTTGTCGTTCAGGTCGTTTCCACTTGGCATAAGTCTATACAGAAAATGAAAATATTCAAAGAAAAATGTCACTTTTGTTCATCAGATCAAAAATAATCTCTGATTAAAAAATACACCTAACCGGCTCTTGTCTGCTGTGCCCCTCTGACTGTAAAGGTTCAAAGCCTGCTGAAGGCCGTGGACTCTCCTGTCTGCTATCCAGCTCTCTTGGTGGAGCCTCTGCATTCACCTCAGGGGGCTGCCAGCCATCATAAAACTTCAGGATGTAGGTAGGAATGTCCTCATCCTCCTCTGGCCACTTGGTACTAGTAAAACCACGAGGAACAGATCACCTGATGAGTCATGATGTCATAAGGCGGAGATGAAAGTAATGCATCCTAAAGCTGCTGTCTTACTCTTTCACATCTTTCAATAAATGCTGTTGTTTTGGTAAAACATGTTAAATGACGATGATTTCTGTGCTATTTGCTTGTTAAACCTCTGACTTTATGTTCTCTCTGCTGTTTCTCATCATAGTAGCTTCATCTGACGCTTTATCATTTCTGTGGCATTGAGGTTTCGTTTCTTGTTTGAAGTTCTTCTTACAGGATATTGGATGAATGCTGCAGTATTCTGGTAAAAGGTTAACTGATTCTGAATTGTTGACAACTATTTGCTTTAATCATGAAGCATACAGGAACTGCAAGACTTCCTCTCTAAATGCTACAGTGTGCACTGCGTGAAGAGTAATGTAAGAGCGCTATTCCTCATGGTGTCATGTCTTTCAAATGAAAGGGTCATAGGAAAAAGGGTGACAGGTTTAATAGGAACCTGGGAATATTCCAGCAGTCTCCCAGAGACTGCCACAGCTGGTCCTCCTCTTGGGAGGCCTCTTCACTCAGGAGACGGATACACTGAGGAGTGAACAGCGGGGCCACAATGGATGGAGGCAGTAATTCAGAGCAGTGAGAGCAAACCTGAAGAAAAAAGAAAATGGACTGATTTTACCAATGGGTCATGGTTCTGCAGGCATCCGTGGAGTATTGAATAGTGAGTCTTAAATAGACAAGGCCTTGATTTGCTTGGAAATATGCAAATGGTAACCGATGAGTGGCTGGTTTGCTTCCATTGTTAGCCTGTAATATCTGAATATCATAGACAGGTTTCAGAATGGAAGCAAACAACCCACTCATCGGTTACCATTTGCATGTTTCCAAGCAATACAAGGCCTTGTCTATATAAAGACTCAACTCACTGCGGATCCAAACAGTTGAATTGAGAAAGCTTCCTGGAGAGGTGGCGAAATATCTTCAAATCTTGGAAACTAAGTCCAGTGGATTTTTTTTTTTTTTTTTACTTTTACGGAATGACTTGTATTTTAGATTTTCTGAATAATCTAATATGTCTGCATCAGGTTAAATTTCACCCTGAAAGCAAACGTCTATCTGCATAAACGCTGGGCTGCTGACTGGAGGAAAATGTTGACATTTGTTTAATTTTGGTCACAAGCCACCATCATCCTGGGCTGCATTTTGGATGCTTCAGACATCCTTTTATACCATACTATCTGAAAATTAGTTTCTTGTTTAATCAGATTTTTACTTTCTACCAAACTAAAACAGGAAAGAAACAAGATGAACATTGCAGATTAAAAGTCACCCTTTTTGCTAAATCTATAAGGAATACATGTTGTTGGAGCAGGGGCAAAATGGTATGAGAAGGTAAAACAAATCTGATCTTTTAGATCATAAAAGAAGTTGTAATGTCAGACAGAGATAGTCTGATTAAATACTTCAATTTATATATATAAAAAGGTTTTTTTTTTAATTGGGGAGAGGAAACAATCCATTCCAATATAGTGGATTGTTTCAAAATAGTACTCTTTTTTTTTTAAATAAAGCTGTAACTCAGTTAAGAATTAAAATTTACAGACTTCATTAGCTGCTACCAAATCTACAGAATCTAGAAACCAATTAAATAGAAGCAGTCTTTCAGCTTAAAGCAGGCTAAGCGATTTTAAGCAACCAGAAAGTCATTGACACCCATCAGTTCAAAGTTACAAAGACATTTCTAAACAGTGTTAGTGTAATGCTCTGGGCTGCTTGAAAATCAGGACCTTGATGGTTTGCAATGATTGCTGGAAGCATCAGGCATCATTGGTGATTTTAAACCCAAGTTTCTTGGTTTTGGAGCAGGATAACTATCTATAACACACCTGATAGTGGCCTCTAAATGACGCAAATGAGGGTTCTTTAAAGGCTCTCTGACAGTCCAGACCGAAAAGTAAGCAAGGGGCTTCAGCATGACCCTGTACCCGCAGCTTTTCCTAAAATCTCTTTTAAATGAAAAGTTTTTCAACAAAAATTGGATCCAAATTCTCTAACAGCAAAATAAAAAACTAATTTCCTGTTATTGCTGATCATTTTTTTAGGCCATACGTAGAGTTAGAGGGCAGCCAGTTACATAATTGTTTTACTGTGATAAAAGTTTTGTATTTATGTGAGTTATCTTTTTCTGATATAAAGTAAAATTTTGTGACAAAACAACTAATTAACAACAAAAAAAAAGAGTAAAAATTTGAACAAGAGCACAGTACATGGCCTGTGTTGTAAAATGAACAAAAAAGGAGTCTTTTAAAAAGCCTTAAAAAGAAAAATCTGAAAACTTGCAGCCCATGTTGTAATAACTAATAATCCTCCTAAACATAATTTTAAAATGTTCAGATCAGTGAGAAACAATTAGAAATTAGAAAAACATGGAGACACTCACGAATGCTAATGCTGAGAACAAGGAGTGGACGAACTCTGGAGCGCCAGGATTATTTATCTTTCCATCGAGCTGCCCCTGTCAGACGTAACGTAAGTGTTCATCAGAGTGTGAAGATATTGCACATCAGAGATAACAGCTACATGTAAATAATGACACAAACCAGAAGGTTGAAGCCGCATTTGATTTTATGGAGGCAGTCTATAAATTCTTCATCAGGCAGTATCCCATCTACTCCTAAATAGATCAGAGGACATACAGTGTTACGTGGATAAGCACATGTTCTGATTTACTGAAAGGTTTTATAATAACCTACCTTTCCCTTTTTTCTTTTTCTTCTTTTTCTTTCCATTTTTGGCCTCAGCAGCTGCTATTCTTCCCATGAAGATCTCAATGTCATTTATGATGTGATTTAAAATGTCCTGAAATAAAAGAGAAAGAAAACCTTTAGATTCTGATTTGCCTTGTTTATTCTCAGATTTTATAATGAGCCATTAAAGAAGAAAGCGTCTTATATGGAGGAAACTCACCACATCCCTGTCCAGTTCTGTGTATGGCCGAGGTGGAGGTAATGGAGTGGTAGGCAGGGGTGTCGGGAAATCCTCTTCCTCCCGGTAACGATGCAGATTCAGTTCAGGCTCAGAATAATCATCCTCGCCTAGATGAAGAAGCAGCAACATTGAAATAGATCTGAACACATCTGGATGACCAATATAGTATTGTTTACTATACTATAGTACAGTACACCTCAAATACACTAAGGAGCATCATCACAGATCCGTCCTGCCAGCTGCTGTTAGATATTATAACCTTCGCTGCTTCCAATTTTATTTTGTTTTTGTTTTTTATGTTTGTAGGTGGTCTTTTTTTTACATATTATTAAAAATGTACCCTTTCAAAACATCAAACCCTTTACCACAGCTCATTCAATCTAAGTATGCTATCATTAATAACTGTAGAGTATCTATTCTCCTGTTGGAACCTAACATTTCCCTAAATTGCTGCTGATACATCATAAATTCCTCCACTGTGTGACAATAAATCCTCTTTCTATTCTATTCTATGCTATTGTATACTATTCTGTTCTATATTTACTAAAGCATACAATGACTAAAAATAGCGACACCTCTCAATTAGATATTATCATCTTCACCTAGTAAGAGCCTCTTTACTACTGCTAAACAAGGCCCTCCCACAGCATGATACTACCACCTCCATGTTACACAGTAGGGATGGTATGTCCATGGAGCTGTGAGGCTCTCACTGAAGAGCTTTATTTCCACTGATATTCTTTACTAATTAGGTGACTTTGGGGCAATTTTATTACACTGAATTTTATGTAAGATTATCAGAGCAAATTTGCTGAACATAGATGCACACCTTATATTTTGTTGAAGTCAGAAAGGGCACGATAACTAGGTTGTTTGAGTGATTAAATTTTAAAATGACATAAATTAAGGCAGTCACTATTGGGATAAAACGCAAGTTAATTCAAACTGAAATTAATTGTAATTTCTGTTATTAGAGATGCGTTCCTTTTGTTAGATCTTGTTGGTTAATCTGATTTATTTTCTAATTATTGAATATTAAACCATTTTACACAGAAACGCTGTTGTTTTTTAACAGGGATATTCTTCTGCTAAGCTCTGGTCTCACCGTTGTCAGGTGAAGTCAACGGCGGCACAGAGTGATCAGTCCGTCTCACTCTTTCATGTTCTCCCGCAAAATGTCCATTGCTGCTTAAACACAGAGCAAAAAGCATAATGAGTACGCAAAGTACATAAGCCCATGCACATGCTTGGTCACTATGCACTTTACCTTACCTGAGGCGTGAACTCTCACTTTTCTCTAACAGAGCTCGTCTCAGATCCTTTTCAACATAATCAGCCTGGAAACAGCAGAAAATGTTTAGATCTCTCCTCTTTCTTTCTCACTCACTAGAAAGGCCTTCTTCCAAAGCTGTATTCTCACCCTGACAACTTCACACTGAAACAGGAGGACAGAGGTGGCTGGTTTTCTCCTGTTCTGGACGGACACGATGAGCAGAGAGTCAAAGGCCTCAGAATCCAGAGAGGAATTAATCTCCTTCACTTCACTGAGAGAGAAGGTCTCCAGCTCCTCCTGAAATTTCACAATAAACTCATGTTTGAATGGTAAGAATCACAAAATAGCGTTGAAGAAAATGTATTATTTCATTTTTTATAATCGGCTGTTTTAATATTTGATTTGTTTGTATGATTTTTCTGTACATGACACATTGCTCTATAGTAAATACTGTAGCAATAAGTATGTTTTTTAAAAATACAGTATGTGCATACATCTTGTTAAAAACAGGGACATTTTAAACACAGTTGAAGGCGGCTTATAATGATGCATTAAGACGTTTGTTAAAGAACTGTTTATGAACTGTTTATGAACTGTTTAAATCTGCTAATGTCGGCTCTTTGATGGCTGTTTTAAGGAATCTAATCTATAATTTGTCTAATAATATGATTATCCTCCCATTGACTAACATTAGATGTAATGAAGTGAGATATGCATTTATTATCTGTAAATGGGAAACATTGGTATGATTTCCTCCTAACGTATTATGTATTTTCCTTTTTTCTTTTCATATACTTTTTTATTGTCCTCTTTTTTTTATGAGATTTGGACTACGAGGTTTTACTAAATCTATCTACCTATCTTTCTACCTCCTCCTAATCACAGTTAAATATTAATGACTTAATTTATAAACTTTACCACAAGATGCTCATTATATGATGATCAAGGATACATAGGTTTTGATTAACGGTCCATCACATCTATATATGCACAAAACACAACATAAAGTCCACATTTTTAAAGGATTTTTTTACAAAGCAGGAAGCTCCGCTAGATATTTTGCAAAAGAAAACCCAAACATGAGGTTGTGTGTAGTGTGACTGAAGTAGAGTAGGTTTCATTGCCCTCTGCTTTTTATCATATACCCGATCCCCATCATTCGACCCTACGTTCCTAAGGACGGTGGCAGAAGTTTACCTTTGTTTCAAAGTCTTTTAGCAGCAGATTTGAACCATGAACCTCCAGCGACATTTCCTGACCCCAAATGCGACCCGTATGATCCAGAACCTTCAGACGCTCCACACAATCTGCGATGTTTTTCAAATCCCTCCCATTTAGGTCACAAGTAAATAAATGCTGCAACAGATAAACCATTAATGAATCTTTAAGGCTTTACAAGACTCTGAGTTGCATACGGAGACGTTATAATACCTCCACTCTGTGCTCTATTGTTTCCAACATCTTGTTGACTGAATGTGCGTACCGGAGCCTCTGCACTGTTAATCAATAAAAAACACAACCATGAACGATTATTGATCAATAAATAGGTGTGATCACCTGCTGATTGATTTGTCACCTACAGTAAACAGCCTTTGCGCTTGGTCTTGAGATGTTTGATATTTGAGAAGCAGATTCATCCATGGTGGAAAAACCACTGTGTAAAAGAGAAACAATAGGACACTGGAGCTGAGTGGGAAAAAAAATTATATGAAAAAGATAATATGAATATATGACCTACTTGGACTGAACGGAAAAGAAGCTGCTGGTCTCAGACCCATATGGGCTGTGGTTCCTGAACATCCTGTCCTTAGACACCTGATGGATCATAAACAACATGGAAACCAGAGCATAAAAATTAAAGGTGTGTGCTGACTGAAAAGCACACTGAAATAAATCCATAAATCGATCAATCCAAGAGGTGTGCTTGATTATGTAACACAGAATTCAGTCTGAAAATATCCCACTTTGTTCATTTTGGACTGAAAAATACAACTTATAACCCAGAATTTAAATTAAAGGTCTTTTGTTCATTATAACCTGGTTAATAAGTGTAATGATCAACCAAACAATGTTATCTGTTTGGTGGGCCTTTCAACTAGAGGTATCCACTACTTTATATAATAAAAAAATACTATACGCTACACTGGGATGTTCGAAGAATATCTTCCTCTTTAACTTTACAAAATGTTACTCCTCATGTCAGCATATTATAAAACAAAATGATATGTTCAATAATCCTTAACTCTATAAAGACAAAAAAAGACTTCGTTTAATGCTGACATGTAACAGAAGACTTCCTACCTTTCCTGTTCGCCTGCTGAATCTTGGTGCTCTCCAACCGTTTTATCTACAGTAGTCTAGTGGCAGCAATACGGCGTCAGTTCATATTTCAGCGTTAACCCAAAGCTTCATCATGAAGGAAGAAGACAAAGTCCACTGCCGGTAGCAGAATGATGTGTGCGACTCTTCCCAGATGAGGGTGTGAGCTTTGGTGTGGCGTCACAAAGGTTAAGACATTGTGAGGGAACAACCTTTTCCTTTAAGGGTGGGATGACTCTGTTGGGAAGATTTGATTTGTGTTTTCACTCTATGTTCAACATGAACACAGTGAAACACATCGCAGTCAAGAAATTATTATCTCTGTAAGTTTTTATCTTGCTGCAATCATTTATGCTGTTTTGTTTATTTATAGTTTTTGTGTGTGTGTTTTTTTTTTTTTTGTTATCTTTGTGTTCCAGACCAGGTTAATATTTGTCTTACATTAACTAGTTCTTCCTCAGCTCTCCCTGTTCACCTTTTAACTCAGCTGCTCCATATTGTCTCCTCCCTAGAACACCAGCATCCTGCTATCTTCCACAACTCCTTCAGCAAATAGTGCTCTGTTTTACTGATTTACCTTTCCTTAACAATATCTGCTTCACTACCATGAATCTTTATCATTGTTTTGCCTCTTTCACACTTAATGCTTGATGTATCAATCTCCATGCTATTGGATTAAGTTAAATCTTTCAATTCATCCAGATACCCCTAAGATCCTATCTATGCTTTAGTCCTGCAGCCAAACATGTTATAGTTCCAGGTTATTTCTCTATTGAAGTCTATTGTTTCAGATAAACAAATATGTTTTAATATCAAAGCAAAGTTTAGCGAATGGAAAATTATTTCTCAAATTCTTCAGCAAGCATTATAAATCAACCTGGAACTTTGTGAAAAAAGTAAGTCCCCCAACCTTATGATTAATATTTCCAGCCTTGGCTGCAAAACAGCAGTTAAATATTGTGATAAGTGATCTTTTCCATTCTTATAGGATTCTCTTTATGGTCCTTTTCTTTGAAGAAACAACATTTGTAAATATTGGAAGGTGTTTGTGCAGGAACAATCTATTTTAAATCCTGCAACATCAACCTAGATTCAGTGAATAATGTGTAATAGCCATGGTGTGTCCACAAGAAAGAAAAAAAAACATTATATTTGCAGCTGTTTTGCCCCCTAATTAGGTTTCAGTTCCACATTTTCTTTTGGCCTATTGATATTTTCAGGTCAAAACATTTTAAAGAAAGCATCAAAGTTTATTCTGTTGTATTTAAGCTTGTGTCTAGGGCTGCTGTTGCTGCTGCTGTGGGGCTGCATTCCCTTTAGTATCTTATCTGAAATGGTCTTCGTTTTCAGTGGAAAATGTGGTAACATTTTATCAAAATAAGCTACAATATTTGATAAAATACCGGAGCACGCCTGGAGAAGTAATAAAGAACTAGTGAGTGGTTAATCTGTACTTTGCTGGTGAACACCCAGCCCAGCTTTTTTTATAGAACTCCTGCTTAGTTACCTGAGAAACACAAAGTAACTAATCAGGAACTGATGGGTAACCAAGATGTGTACCAGGGAAGGCAAAAAAGGAACTAGTAAGGAACCAAAGGGTATCTAACCAGCGCTTATAAGGAGACTGCTGGTTTGTTAAAATTAGAGTAAAAACTAACTATTATAGAAGTATCATTTTATGGTCTTTGGGGAGTCAAGCATCATAACAAGTAGTTAATAATAAGTTATTAGTACCTGACCTTTAACTAATGTTTTTTTGTAGCCTAAAGTAAAGTACCGGTACCCGTTAGTTCCTGCTCAGTTTTTCTGTGTTTGCCTGGTAACTAAGTAGTAGTCTCATAAGGCTAAGCTGATTATTTCCCAATTAGTACTGGTTAACTACACATCAGTTCCTGGTTAGTTCCCTAGGAGTTCTCTATTAGTTAATCAAATGTTGAGCACTTTATTGTAAAGTTTTACCATATGAGGATAGAAGCTGCAGTTTTGAACATGTTGATGCCATTTTTAGCCAAAGTATGGGGTTCAGCAGAGGTGCAGAGGCTTTAATCCTCAACATGGCGTTCAAACGTGGACAACCCTGTACCCGCTCCCTAGAGGGAACGCCTTTTAAACGAATGCGAGAGCCCATTTCTCCTTGTGCTCCCTGTGTTTAAAAGTTACTGTTTTTATCGCTCATACAAGCTTATTTTCCAAAAGAAGATTTGCAAATTTTCCAATATGTCAGACTAACCACCTGTAAGTGAAAATTAGGACGAGCACTTAGGGCGTAAACATATCGCTAGAATGATTAACATTTAGGAGGACCAGTTATTTTGATAAACCACCCGGAAAAAGAACATCCTCCACTAGACCTTTAAGTCATCAAAACATTAATAAACATACAATCATGATGCAAGTAAAGTGTATTCATAACTCAATATGTATACATAGGGTCATCTTCTCTCTTGTACAATTATAAACCATGCAGCTTGTAAATCACAGGCGCTGGTAAACAGTATCTAGCAAGTGAGTTCCAAAGTGACGTATTCAGAAAATAAATAAATGAGTCATATTAGTTAATCAGAGATATTTAGAGTCATAGGGTGGCCAAGGGTTCTGTTTGCCTGTATAATAACACTGTATTGTCATATAAACCAAACAGTCTATCATACATGCAGTCTTTGGTGGGCGTAGTATGGGGAAGTGAGCATGCCAGGATATGTTTTCTTGAATATTCCTGAAAAATGCCAAAAAAAAAAAAAAATCAAAGAAATTCATGGAGAAAATTTTAGCATTAGAGTCTAGGTATCACACATGCAAATTTAGATCTACAATGCGCCCCTGTTGAAAGCAGCTCACCTATCCAAATCATGGAAATAGGGTGTTCCCATCCCTCCCATAGATAAAGGGGCATAAATTTAATCATCAGACATGCAAACTGTTGCTAAACACAAACCCTAGGAAAGAATGGGTTGCTCTGAGAAGTTCAGTGAACTCCAGCGTGGTTCTGTGATCAGATGCCACGGTTCAGATCGTTTTTTTATTTTATTTAATATTCTTCTATTGATGCCACTTTTACCAAGTCCCTTACTTGTTGTGTTATTAACACCATTGCATGTTAACATGGTTTCACCGTCGGTCATCATCACACACAGTGAGGTCTGCAGTGCTTTAGATGTCATTCCTGGCCCTTTTATGCTCATAATGAGTTGTGGTGACCTAATGGTGCAATTGTGGTGATCAGAGACACAAAAAACAGAAAGAAGAGTGAGGAGGAAGACATGCAACAAAGGTCTCGGGTTCTGGATTTGAGGGTGCATAGAGGACTAATCTATATATGGGTAACAGGCTGTACCCATACACCCCTGCTGTACCGTCCTAGAGTTTCCCTGGATTTACAGGACCTGGCTGGCTGTCATAGTTCTTTAGTCTTATAAAAACTTTTGTATTTTGTCTCTAAAAATTCTATATCAAGATTTATTGGAAAATCTTAAACATGTAAATATCCAAAAATAAATTGTAAGGAGGGAATTAATTATTCAATGTGGCTTTATAGGTCAGTTTTATTTTAGTGATGTTTTTCTGGGCAGGTGTATTTTAAAAGGAGGGGATAATGGAAAACAAACCAAAGTAATTAATGATCAGACTCTTTATATTATAGAACAAAGTGCGTTATTTTAGAAACGCCTAATCTTTAATGTCTACTACCTTTATTATCTTTCCACCTGATGCCCTAATGTTGTCAAAGTCGATAAAACATTAACCAGGAAGGATTCCTCTGTGACGTAACAAGCAACAGGACCATATTTACCTCAGATTGTCTGACAAAAGACAACAGACAGAGCAAGATGCATTATCACCATCCGATCAAAAAAAGTGTATTTAATTACAATCACTCCAGCTGCCATTTGGAGAGGGAGTGGTTTAAAATGTGTTAAGTGATTTTAAAAGCTAGATAAATTCTCCACCAACAGTACTTGATACAAGTATTTTTGCCTTGAAGGTATTTGTTACAAACATTTTAATTCTGTTTATTTGGATTCTGCATATCCTAGACACTGAAGTTTACTGGTAAAAGCAAGCAATATTTATACAAAAACACGGGGCTTTGCTTCAAAAACAACTGTGGCAGCAATAGTTTAACTTTAATCCGAGGAGATGCCAGTTTAAGCAATTAAAGTGGATCATGATATGAAATATCCCAAAACATCAGCATTGCCTCTGCAAAGCAGAGACACAGCGTGGGAGAAAAATATTATACATCATGCAAACATTAGATGTTAGGTTACATTTTTAGATCATCAAACTAATTCTAAAATTACAATTTAATTTAGCAGCATGTTGGCATGAATCTTATTCAGCCAAAATGCCTCTGGAAAATTACAACCAGGACTACTTGTTCAACAAGGGCAGCAATTGTAATAGGAAAGGCACAAGCAGTCCTAGTTGCAGGACACAAAGAAGCAGCCATTGAATGGCTGACTTCATAATTTGGAAGGACATAAATGAGTCACATTACTCCATCCAAGCTGTGGATCTCTGCAGCTCTCCCAGAGCTCCTCTGGGCATCCTTGCCGCTTCCCTCACCATTGTCTCCTTACCTCACCCGGCAGAGCTTAGGTGGACAACTACATCTTTGAATAATAAAATCTATACATCTCATTCATACTAAAAACTTCCCTCTAATGCATTTCTAAAACAGCTGGAGTTAGAGAGAGATTCAATTACAAACAGCTGAAGTTTGAAGTTCAAAACGAACTATAATGAAATATGTGTTTAATGCTCAAGGGGTGTGAAGACTTTTGCACCAATGACACAGGAAAAAAAAGCTTTTTAAAGTTCAGGCTTTAACTTATCTGCTATAAACTGGATATCTGGTATTTTTTACACCTCGAATAATAATAATTCCTATAGATATTCCCATTTTTGAAGTTATACATTATGTACAGTTATAGCTAAATAAATACACATAAAATAATCTTAACTTGTGATTGAACAGAAAAGCCAAACTTTAAAAAGCACCAAAGATCACGAGAAAAAGAAATGAAAATTATATTTTAAGCTTCAATTCTAAAAAAGTAATTTATATTATAATCATGTAAAATTTAACTAAGATATTTAGGTAGAAACATTGTTCAACATTTGTTTTCCAACCAAATCTAATATTTGAAACAAATGTAAGTATACTCCTTCAAAATAGCAGAAACCGTGTAAAAAGTTTATAACACACAGAGAGGTGGTAAATCAATGCTGATTAACAAAAACAAAAAACAAGACTTTGGTCAATCTGAATAATCATGTAAATTCTCTGCTGTAGTTTAATACAAAATACAGACTCCATCTAGCAGGTTAAAAAGTTTTACTCTAACAGGACACGTCTTTCAAAACCAGCATTTAACCAGTGTATGATTTCCTTTTCTCTGTAGCCAAAAAAATCTGGTCCATCTAACAGCTTAACTGTAAAA